CTTCGTCATCAGTAAAGTGATTGAACGTGTTTGTTTTTATTCATTTACAGGATGATGGCATCGCTGGCTAGGCGAGCAATTATTGCCCATCCCTAATTGCCCATAAGGCAGTTAAGAGTCAACCACATTGCTGTGGGTCTGGAGTCACATGTAGGCCAGACCTGGTAAAGATGGTAGTTTCCTTCCCTAAAGAACATTAGTGAACCAGATGGGTTTTCCCAACAATCGACAATGAATTCATGGTCATCATTAGATTCTTAATTCCAGATATTTTGTTGAATTCAAATTCCACTATCTGTTGTGGTGGAATTCAAACCCAGGTCCCCAGAACGTTGTTTGGGTCACTCGATTAACAGTCCAGCGATAATACAACTAAGCCATTGCCTCCCCATTCATCAACAGTGCTATCAAGCAGCATCTGCTCAGCCAAAACCTGCTCAGTTATGCCCTGTTTAAGTTCTGCCATGGCACTTAGCTCCTGACCTCATTACGACCTTGGTTCAAACATGGAGCTGAATTCCAGAGGTGAGGTGAGAGCGACAGCCCTTGACATCAAGGCTGCATTTGACTAAGTCATCAAGAAGTCATAACAAAACTGGAATCAATGGGTATCATGAAGCAAACTCTCTATTGGTTGGATTTATACCTGGTACACAGGAAGATGGTTATGGTTATTCGAGATCAGACATCTCAGCTCCAGAACATCTCTGCAGGCGTTCCTTGGTAGTATCCTAGGCCCAACCATCTTCAGCTACTTTAACAATGACCTTGTGTCCATCGTAAGATCAAAAGGTGGGAATGTTCGCTGATGATTGCACAATGTTTAGCAGCATTCATGACACTTCAGACACTGAAGCAGTCCATGTTCAAATGCAACAAGATCTGGACAATGTCCAGGCTTGGGCTGATATATGGCAAATAACATTCACACCACACAAATGCCAGGCAATGGCCGTCTCCAATAAAAGAGAATCTAATCATTGCCCCTTGACATTTAATAGCATTACCATGACTGAATCCCCCACTATCAACATTGTTGGGGTTACCATTAACCAGAAACTCAACTGGACTTGCCACATGAGCACAATGGCTGCAAGAGCAAGTTTAAGGCTTGGAATATTTTGTCAATTAACTCACCATCTGACTCCCCAGAGCCTGTCAAGTGAGGCATGAGTCAGGAGTGTGATGGAATACCTCCCACTTGCCTGGATGAGTGTAGCTCCAACAAAACTCAAGAAACTTGACACCATCCAGAACAAAGCAGCCCACTTTTTTGTCACCATATCCACAAGCATCCAGTCCCTCCATCACCAATACTCAATAGTACACACTGCTGTTATCTCCAAGATGCACTGCAGAAATTCACCAAAGATCTTTCGAAAGCACCTTCCAAATCTACAACTATGTCCATCTAGAAGGAGAAGGGCAGGAGATACATGGGAACATGTGCAAGTTCCCCTCAAAGCTATTCACTATCCTGACTTGGAAATATAAAACCGTCCCTTCAGTATCGTTGGGTCAAAATTCTGGAATTCTATCCCTAAGGGCATTGTGGGTAAACCTACAGCATGTAGAGTGCATTGGTTCAAGAAGGCAATTCACCACTACCTTCTTAAGGGCAGAGAGGTGTGATAAATGCTGTCCAGCTGGTGTTGCCAACGTCCCACAAGTAAATTTTAAAAAAAGCCTGATCTCATAGTGTAATATATGATTATGAGAAATACCTGGATCCTCGTTACTTTCTCTAACAACTTTGGGATGTGTACATTTGTAATCCATATTAAGCAACCTTGAAGAGTGTACCTGGACAGCCTGGTTTCCATGCTGTACATTTTTTTTTAACCAATAATATTTCCTGGGTCTCTTCACTCTTTATGACCCTCTTTTTAACAATAAATGATGTCTCCTTGATGGAAGAGATAGTAGCAACTGCAGATGCTGGAGAATCTGAGA